CAAGCTACGAGCTACAGACGCGTGTGCGAGAATCAGTGATAGTTTGTGATAACCAGTTATATTTGGAGTGTGTAATTCAGCGAGACTTGTATAGCTCCCGCGCTATTAATACGTGAAGACTCTGGAAGATAGTGTTAAGAGATTTTGTTGTAGGGTTTTGTAAAGTGTGGAAACCCGTAACATTGTGATAATTAATTGTAGCCGTTGTTTGTAGATTGTTCAATAAACCAATTAACGATCTCTACGGCGTATTCAGTAACCAGAAACACGTTACACTGGTGTCAGAAGTGGGATTTGGACTTACACACGTGACCAACGAGCTTCGAACTCAAGACATGTGACAGTTTGGTGTCAAATTGTTTTGCGAACTTGAACACGCCTCAACAAATTATACTACCGCACGATGGAAATGGAAACAATTTTTGAACTCCTAGAGGCGATACTAGATGCCGATAGAAAGGCCCGGCGAGAACAGATGGCCACCATGCGAGAAGAGCTGGTCGCAGAAACGGAAGCCACCAGAGCAGAAACAAGAGCTATCCAAGAAATGTCGGAAGCCATGCGAGAAACAATGGACACCAGCCACATGGAGATGGTGTACGCATTTAAACCCGAAAGAGACGTAAAGGCAATAGCCTGCCAAGAGATGGAGGCACATCTAGAAGAAGAAAAGCCGGCCCCAGTGGACACGAAACCTGAGGCGGAACAACAAGAAGAGGTCCCCGTAGACGTCACAGTCATACCGGTCAGTGAACTTGAAAATGAATTGACGCCGATTACCCAAAAGGAGACGGTGGCCTGCCCAGTGGATATGAAACCTGCGGCGGCACAATAAGAAGAGGTCCCCATTGCAATACCGGTCGGAGTGAAGATGGCCTGCCAAGAAATTGAGGCACGTCCAGAAGATGAAAAGCCGGCTTCAGTGCACAGGAAACCTGAGGCGGCAGAACTACGAGAGGTACCCGTACAAGATGCCGAAGTAATGCTGGTTGGAGAACCGAAGAAGAAAAGGCGCAGGGACCGACATCGTCCCCTGGGAACCTTCGGATGCCAGCGGAAAGAAGTGACCGCCACCGGAATAAAGATTAACGCTGTATAGGACACAGGCGTATGGGACAAATCAAGAATAAGGTCGCACCGGAAATCACCAAGAAACGGACGTTCGGGAAGAGACTGTGGAAAGGCCCGGAACGCAACACTGGCATCAGGAACCGAGGCCTGAGACAGCAA